AAAACTGCTTGCATACCTGTTTTGGAAGGCACCCATACACCAATATGCAGTTGGAATTAAAATCATACCTGCTCCTATGCCTAAAATATTGTCAAATGAAAATTTGGAAAAAATTTAACTGCAATTGTTAGTATTTCTTGTTCAACAGAGTATTCTCAAGTTATCGTTTAGTATATTAGTGTAAAAAAAAAACAGATAGTATTTTTCTCGATGATAATATTTCTGGTGTAAGCTATTTGATTGCACATCTGTCTTCTATAAGTCATCCGCAACATAAGTGTAATCACGAAGAGAACAGATTTAAAGTGTGCGCGCCTTGCGGGAGAAAGGTTAAATTCGGATCGTCAAAGCCTTCAGAATTTAATATAACCGGAAAATTGGAGTGTCTTATTAAAAAATACGTTAGTGAAAATTTTAGATTGACCAATTCGAAGTTCCCATTAGGCATTTGTGGTACATGTCGTAGGGTTCTCTGTGACCGAGATAAGGATATACCAAATGCAACGCGGCCTCTTCCAAACATGCCTAACTATGAAGATTCGACAAAAGAAACAAGAACAAGTTCATGCTCTTGTTATATCTGGCTCACTGCTCGGGCAACCAGCCATCCAAAAGTTATACAAGGGAGAGCACATACCTTAAATGTATTGAGTGAAAAAAACTCCACCAATGGGTTGACTGCTTTGTCAGTTGGGTCAGAATTAAAAAATCATGTAAGTAAACTCGCTAAAGCCTTCCGAAGCACAGAAATGTCGGAAACATTAAAAATTCACGTGCTTCTAAATCATTTGGAACATTGACTGCATTTTTTAGGCAACGACGGCTTCGGAATGTGGTCGGAGCAAGCTGGAGAATCCATTCATGGCGTATTTTTAAGATTTTGGCTCAATTATAAAGTTGATTCGATTGGCGACCCTAAATATATAATCAATTAAAAAAAAAACTGTCGTTGAATTTTCATCAAAACACATATGAATTTATATAAAATAATATTTTATATTGACTTTGTAAATTTATAAAATTTATGCAATAAGAATTATTAAAATATGCAATTATGTAATATTATCTCTTTAATAACTAAGTTAAAATATTTTATGCTTATAACGTAAGAAAGTGTTATAATTATATTACCATAGACCTTCGCGATTATATAACTGGATTTGGAAAGTTCTAGATCAACATTTTATAATATTTTAAGCATAGGAGCAGATGGAATTTTATTTTCAACGAAATTTTGATCTATGATTATGTACAAAGACAGTTATGTAAGCCGTTTTGGTTGGCATTTTAGTCACAGCTATGGTTGCTTCAAGACCACTGTGCCCCATTGCATTGCATTTTTTTTCAAATAATTCCCAAAATAAAGTAAGCTGCAGAAATCAATCGAAATATCTTAATGTAAAATATGCAAAAACAACGCAATAAAGCTTGTAAGGCAAACATAAAGAAAACTGCTTACCTGCACGTGTAACATTCCAAACACCCAATGCGGGCAATAGAGTAAACACATAAATGCAATGCATGAGGAATCAATTCAAAAGGGTTCATAAACTCGCGAGAAAAGTGACATGTGTACTTAAGTATTAAACAAGGGCATATGAGAGTGAATGTATTCGCATACACGCATTTGTACATGGCTATGTATGTACGTACATATGTACGTATGTAAATATATTTATAAATGTAATTCTTAAGCGTATTATTAAATAAAACATGCAAAATTAAGCAGGAATTTTTTGTGCAAATGTCGGTAGAATGGACAGTAGGGCGGTCTAAAAAAAGTTTAGAATGTTAAGCTCTCATCCCCTAGCGTTTTTCTAAATGGAAAAAGGAATACCCGTATTTTTTTTTTTTTTGTTTATACATAGAACTGCCTCAAAGCCTATTAAGTTTTCCATGTATTTTATATAGAGAAAAACCATGTTTTCATAGAAATGGTATAGAATTATTGAAAATCATATACATATGTAATACTTCTATATTGGCGTAAGCTAACTTCTCAATGTGTAAGCATTCCGAAATCAAAGCGAGGCAGTCTAGTACCGTTTTTGTTAATGTATTGTGTACTTGAGTGCCGTTTTTGTATATGTGTTGTGTACATGTTTATTTATAAACGTATGTGTTCCTTTTCTTTCGTACGTGTTTATTGATATATCTGTACTGTAGTATTTTCGGACGGTACTAGCTCTTACTGCCAATATAGGAGTATTACATATATGTTGAAAATCTATATTTTTTTACCATTTTTTAATATTAACGATTTTTTATGGGTCCCTAATTACATTGTCGGCCGCTGTGGTGTAGTGGTAAGCAGTGCGCGCTTTCACTCATCAGCACCTGGGTTCAAGAATATAGAAAAAGTTGTTTCTTAACAGCGGTCGACAATCGGCAGGCAATGGCAAACCTCCGAGTGTATTTCTGCCATGAAAAACAGCTTCTCATAAAAATACAATCGCCGTTCGGAGTCGGCGTAAAACTGTAGGTCCCTCCGCTTTGTGTGACAACATCAAGGCGCACACCACAAGTCGGAGGAGAAGCTCGGCCAAACACTAACATATGTGTAAGCGCCAATCTATTATTATTATTATTAATTGCATTTTTTGGATTTTTGCAAGACCTATAAATGATAGTGTTCGGAGCAGCAGCTGGAACCTAACTAGAAGAAATTCATTTACATCATACTTATGTGCACTGCCCTGCGTGGTAGTTAAAAACTAGCTTTGTAATACCATAACTTAATATTCCTTTAATTTTTAGTGCATTTGGCCACCTTAATCTTATCACTTGCGCTCAATATTAGTATCAATCATTCTTGTAGTTTTTTTCTCACTTGCCTTTTCTCTTCATCCTTAGCTGCGGTATATGTATGTACATATGTACATACATACATAAACATATATGTACGGTTGTGCCGAGCTGAGATTTGCATTTTTTGTCTCTCGTTTTTTGGACATTAACTGTGAGCAGTTCGTTTAGGAAATTCAATTGTTGTGCAACTATAGTCACGGCCACGTTCCATTTGATTTGTAAGAACATTGTATCGAAATAAATTACAAATAAGTTAAAAACACAGTGCGTTTAGTGGTTTTAGACATTCATAGCTGCAAAAAAAACGCTTTGTAGCTCAACATTTTTTGGTGACCCCGACGTGATAGCCGTGACAATTTAGTTGTGCAAAAAGAAAATCAATTCAACAGACATTTAGTTATTTAACAATAATAGTTGTTGTGCTGCGCGACAACTTCCATTCTTGCTGTACATATGTATTTTCGTGCATAGTACATACAATCCGTTCTTTGTAATCACCACTGTGATTTGGAGCAATTGTGGTGTGATTGTTAAACGGTCAAAACTGTAACTTTGCGTACATACATAGCCCTTGGCTAGTACATACAATCCCTTCCTTGTAGTCTGGACGGTAAACTTGCGAGTTTGTGGCGTGATCATTAAACGGTTAGGACTATAACGTTACATACATACATCACGGCTGTCGTTAGCATTCTGCATCCATCGCTTAGCAGTTGATATATATTTTTGCATACGTTTGTTTTATATTCGTTGCGTTGCTGAGAAAACATCCACTCAAGTTGTTCTTCTCGAACCTTCAATATGTCGCTTAGCCCAGCTAATGGTACTGCCAACGGGGAAGGTTCATCAAACATTGCCCCAGCGAGTGGGCAAGTGTCTTCAGACCGAGTGTTGTTTTTGAAGTCGAAAACAATGTCCCTATTCAACCGGCTTGAGCGCACAGCGGCAGAAATGGACGTGGAAAAGCTTCAAGGCATGGATGAGTACGACTTAGCAGCAATTGTCGAATTATTAGGTGAATTAAAATCAGCCTTTACTGTCGCTCACACCAGTTTGGAGGAACTAGATTTCCATTCCATTGCCAGTGTTCTTCCCTGCAAATTTGATTCCACGGTAACAAATCTTAAGGCGAACCTGCAACGAGAGATTGGGAAACGTACTACATCCCACCACTGCTCGACATTCAGAGCGAACGCCGGCGATTCCCAGTCCATCATCGTGAATGCTAATCCTTCTCGCTTGCCTTTGCTGACGTTGCCTAAATTTAGTGGTGCTTACACTGAGTGGATGAACTTCCTTTCGATGTTCATCTCTGTCATCGACAAGGATAGCGACCTAACGCAAACCGATAAACTGCAGCATCTTCGTTCCTGCTTGAGTGGTGCAGCACTGGATACCATACGATCGCTAGAGATAAACGAGGCTAACTACAAAATTGCGATAGAACTTCTTAAAAAACGATTTGATAACAAAAGACTTATCTTTCAGGCACACATCAGGGAGATCTTTGGGTTGGAAAGGGCAGGCACATCCGTTAGCAAGCTACGAGAGTTGACGGACAAAGTCACTTCGCATATACGCGCGTTGCAATCACTTGCGTCCAAGGAACAAATCGCAGACTGTATAATCATACAATTGTTAACTCAGAAGCTGGACAAGGCAACCCAAGCCAAATGGGAGGAGAATTCTTCAAGCAACGAGCTGCCGTCGTGGGACCAGTTAGCTGACTTTTTAGAGAAGCGCTGTCGAACACTCGAAAACGTAGAGCATGCCATGGTAGAGCAAGGATTTCAGGTTGGAAAAAGTGGAAAAAACGTGAGTACCAATCAAAATAAATCATTTCTTGCTTCGAAAACCTCTGCGTGTGGTTGCGCATTTTGTGGATCGGCAGATCATCTCATTTACCACTGTCAACGGTTCGAAAATTTATCGCCAAACCTTCGTCAGAAAGAGACCAAGAAACTTTCTCTTTGCCTTAATTGTCTAAAGGCGGGTCATCAGATGCGAGATTGTAAATCTGGATCTTGTCGCAAATGTCAATCGAAGCACCACACCCTTCTACATTTTGATCGTACAAATATAGCTTCACCTGCAACTCGAGGTGCGGCTTCTCAATCAACTACAGCTCAGTCGAACGCAATGATGGTTGGCATTTTAGTCATACCTATCATTGTTTCAAGACCACTGTGGGGGGTTGCGATCGAAAGGATTTAAATTTTATATTCAAAATAGCAGCTCTTTTAGTTACTCAAAACAGAGTCAAAGTTGGATGTAATTATGCAAATCCTATCTAATTTGTTTTTTTTTTCTATAAATCTCTCTATATCCTTTTCTTTTTTTGTACTACATATAACCGTTTGTCGCTCGAGGCCAACAACAATTGTCTTCCTACTTTGCAAAATTATGCCAGTTTCTCACTCCAAGTAGGTATAAACAGACGCTATAAGTGAGCTAAGAAATTTTTTTTTTTCAACAAAACTCTATACCCCACATGTGCAGCTGCGATAGTTCGCAAGTATTTTTTCCCCTTTTCCTGAGCTCGTAGCCCATGCACTTGCTTGTCTGCATTGACCTTAATTAAAAAACCGGGACAAATTATGTATGGACCAGGGGACCAGGACAATTTGTCTAAAACCAGGACAAACCCTGGAAAACCAGAACGTCTGGCAGCCCTAGCCTAGATGAAAATTTCCTCAACCTAAATTAAACGACACATACTTTTTTTCTTAATGAAATTGATTCAACTGAAAAATTTTCTAAGGCGATGTTTATTGATTTCTACGGGAAATTACGAATTAGCTCCCCGTCAATGAACTGATTGGGGCTTATTAATATGGCTTAAGTCGTGTCAATCAATCAAGAACCAGTAATTTACTATACCCCAAAATATTGAAAACGACCCAGGAGAGGAAATCGACACACAAGAGATGGTCCCGCGAATATACGACATCGATGAAAAATTAAACTCTAAATTTCACTAAATTAGAGGAAGAAATTGTACTTTGATTTAGGCACATGATCTTAAAAATTGTTACATACATACACATAAGATTTCAATGTAAATACGTTGAGGATAGGTAAACATTACCTAGTAGTGGCGCGAAGAAAACTTACCGTCGCAAAACTGAATTTCGGATCACCGAAAAGAGTGACGTTGAGCATAATGTTTAGTTTTGGACGAGGGTTTGCCGGGTGAATTGAAATAGGAAGGTGGATTCTCCGTGGTTGGTTGGTGTAGTGCGGAAACCTTCAAAAGCCGGAAATATCTTTGATAAATATGTCAAGGCCGAGTCTTTATAAATATGATTTCAGTCGACTGCAGTATCCGGACCTTAATTTAGCCAGAGTTTTTCGAGTCTCTCGCGAGAGCTCTACATTTAATGGCTTGCCAGTACGTCGTTAGATCCAGTGATTGAGATGCACTCTGGTGAGATTGGCTTGGGATTTTGCCTTAAGATATTATCCGTTTGAATGCTCTCTGTGAGAGCAGCTAACCAGAAACTATGTGCTGAGCATTTACTTAGGGGTGCGGTATTCTGGCTAGTCTAAAGCTTCGTATACTGCGTCCAACTAGCGTCCATGGCGATCAAATAGGCGCAGCATAATTAAGAAACGGCCGGCCACTTGAGTTGCCTTGTATGCCAACAACGCCCAAATACTTCCAGCGAGCAATTTGAGGACCTTGACCCACGAAATGTTCACGTTTTTCGCCAGTGGAATTGGTTGGGCTTACTTTGTCTAAATGCCACCGATGATTTGGTCGGGCAGAGGTTTGGACATCGTACAGTGAAGTAGAGAGAAAGCTCATAAAGTACATTGCTGGATGCCAATATCGGTCATACGAGGCCAAGAATACACTCTCTGTTGGCTGAAGAAGATTCGAAACAAAGAAGTTAAATAATAACGGGCATGAGTAGGACTCCACCCTGTGGGTACACTTTGTTAATACTTTTTGGCTTTGGATGCTTGATTTCGAATGATTAGTGAAAATTTGAGAAATATTGGCTTGAATTCTTTAATTTAATTCTAGCGAGACTGACTTTAAAAAAAAATAATAATAATACTGGGCATGCTTTACGAATTCATATCCATTCACGATACATTTATGTACATACGTACATAGCATTTTTCACATTTTCATTGTACAGTAGTTTCTACGGTAAGTATGGTGGAACACTTATATACTAGCGCCATTATTCAAGACAAAAGAAAAAACAAAGCGCGAGTTTATTGGGTACTCAGAGCAAATTCAACGAAAATTGTTTTATACAACTGAATCACCTCGAATATATACGTATGTATGTATATGCATTGCATGTGGTAATCATACCGGATTCACTTGTTTGTTGCTACTGGAAAGAGCATACTCGTACATACATACTTACATACTTTATTTAACGCTCTTAGCGATAGACGGTAGCTAAAATTTCATGTTGTATGCATGAATTTGTTTGCGCATAAAAATATGCCGTCGCGTCGTCGTCATTGCCTTCACCACAGGTTGTTATGCCGAAAGCTAAAGTGCTTATATTCTGCGATGCACTGGTGCGGCCATAATCACGTGAGTTGGGGGCTGGCGAGGCTTAGTTGCCGGCTGGCGGTCGGTAGCTACATAGCTGGATCTGCGCTTTTTGCTACTGCTACATGTTGCATGCCTGACGGCAGTATTTGTCTACGGTGTGTNGTACGTACATATCTACAATATATCTTTTGCAATAAAAACAGCAACAATAAAATCAACCACATCAATGGGTATTACGAGCATAGTAGTGAGTCAGAGATGAGATGTAGTAGTTGATGGAGTGATGGTGAGATGAAAAGATGAATGGCAAAAAAAAAAACAAGCAACAGTGCTATGTGGCGGATGCTTTGGCTTTGAGGTAGTAAAAGTTGCGCTTTCGGGAGAAGTGATAAGCTGAAACCACTCAAGGTGGCATAGATTATGCCGCCGCACTCACACATGCATACATACATATGTATGTATGTACATTTGCACATACTCGTTTATACATATGTATGCATTGATGCTCTTCCATTTCCAGGTATGTTCCATATGCTTGTAAGCACATTAGGGTCGTTCAAAAATACATGCTGGGGGGGGAGGGGGAATTCTTACCCCCTAGGATTTTTATAAACGGAAAAAATAATACCCGTATTTTTTCTAAAACAAATTATATTTAGAATTGCCTCAATGCCCATGAAGTTGTCGATAAATTTTATGAGGAAAAAACACCTTTTCGTTGAAATGGCATATAATTATTGGAAATCAATATTTTTCGATCGGAAAACCCTTTATAGGTCACCCCAAAAATGCAAAGGGCTCTATTTATTGGAAACTTCATAGGCTTTTTGGCAGTTCTAAATAAATTTTTTTTTTAACAAAAATATCCTTCCATCCGTTTAGAAAAATGCTAGAGAGTGAGAGCTGAACATTTTAAACTTTTTTGGACCACCCTAATGCACATACTTATGTATAAGATTGCATGTTTGTCACGTCATATGCTCAAATGAAGTCATAAACTTGAAATAAGCTCTTACTGATGGCAATTTGCCGAGTTTACTACATATTACCCTGAATACATACATACGAGAGTTCTTCATTGTTTCCGAACCATGCGATTTTACTTAATCCTTAAACCCTCTTATCGTCGCAATTGCATTTCGCACTTCCTTCTTGGTTTTTGGTATTTCGATAGGCCGAACTCATTTTGCCTTGCACTCTGCTAATGATATATTCCGATTATGTTTCTGAAATTGCTTGTTCGCTTATTATGAGAGGCGTATGGACAGCAGCATTAACATACATATGTGCAAAATCGTGTCGTGTTGAAATTCATGTAGTGTGTTTCGCTACCATTGACAAAATAAACTATTCACTTTCGTTCGAAACAAGCATTTTTGAGCTAAACAATGACTTTACCAGGTGTCTTATATCACCCGTCCACCCCTTCTAAAATGGATGAAAATGTTTTTTTCTATTAAAAAATGCAAAACCATGAATTATCAAATCGGCGGTTTTCTATCATTTGTATTATGGACCTCCTGTATCGACCGGAAATGGGTTAAACAGATCGCAAATTCATCTTCTTTAAATGGGACACATATGTATGTATGTATGTTTATGCTACAGACGCTTTTTATATATGGACTTCGGTTTAAAAGAATGGATCTGCGGTCTGTTTAACTCACTTAAGGTGGACACCAGAAGCCGGGAATACGGCCAAAAGGTAAGGCGTCCCCGACAGGGTAACTCATATTTTTCAATTTTCCAATAAAAACCCTCTTCGCAAAACTAGCAAGGGGGACGGTGTCCTATACCAACCCAGTATATTTATACCAAAAATAATAATTTAGCAAAAAAAAAAACGGGAGATTTTATTCTTTATCAGAACAGCATGAATTCGCCAGGAATATCGCTATCTCCAAAGCATTCTCCTTTTCAGTCATCATAGAGCAAACTACGAAAATTTTTCCTTAGAACCCCCCACTTTCTTTTAACTACTTTTGCCGTTAAATTAGATCAAATCGATAATGCGTCAGCGACACATTTTATTAGCCAACAGTGAACTATTTTTCAAGCTATTTTCCTAATTTTATAAACGCATAAGCCACTTTGAACAAGATCTCAGCTGTGCTTAGAAAATCTTGAAAGAGGGCGCTGAAGCCACCCCCTTTCGTCCAATGTAGGCTAAATACAAAACCTGCTATTATGAGCCTTTAACTGAACTTTGGACAACAAAAAACTCAGTGAAATAAACTCATCGTCCACAAGCCTGCTTCGTCGTTTCCCAGGACCACACTGCATCGTGTAGGCCAGTCGATTCTCGATTTTAGGGAGCAGAAATTATGAGCATTCTTCAATACATACTTATTTTACAATTGTTTTTCAAACGATGACGATTGTGGCATATGTAGTCAATGGCTACTGGGTCCCGAAACATGTATTCCGTGAATGAGGAAGTAGGCGAGCGTGCTAGAAAGGGATCTGATATAGTATAACGGTGATCGCATAACCATTTCTGTAGAGATTAGGAGGAGATATAATCTAATTAGCATTTCCTGTGCGAGTGCCTCGCTGTCCGGATAAATCATCTAAAAAATCTTGGCAACCACTCCTTCGAAAGCATACACAAGGGAACTCCAATGGACGGTCTTCTAAGATTGGCCAGAATATCAGCATAGTTTAAAGGCAAGTAAGGTCCATCCGACCTTTG